GAAAACCACATTTCACATTTCTTGGAATTGCCATCTTTTTCTCATCTTTGATGCCAATGTCTTCTCACAAGATTTACAAGAGAAGAAAAGTCTCACTGTTCTGAAAATGCCAGAAAACGTTCCAAAACTTGCTTAGTGTTCTTCCTAGCAACAGATCCAACAACTTCCTCCACATTTCTTCCGGGTGGCATGGCTCTCCTTGTGTTTATCACTTTCTGTCATCTGCTAGCTATATGACCTTGGGCCACTAGTCCAGTTTCTGTGCCTCAGTTTTCTCATCTTTTAGATGGGGATAATAAAACTGCCTACCTCATAAAGCTGTTATGATGATCAAATATATGCCAGCAAGTCACAACGGTGCTCAGAATGGAGTAAGCACTCACTATGTTGCTAGGCAGTGATTTTACCTGCATAAGCAATGGATGAACCTATGGGTTGGGGAAGTATGTGCACTAAGAATTACAATAGACCCGGAGTCTTGGCTTTTGCCACTTACTAGCTGTGATGAGTCCTTGAGAAGTTACCTTACTAAAACTTATTTTTTTAATCTGTAAAATAGTAGAAAAACACTTATTTTTTGATATTAAATAAGATTACCTCTGTGAAAAGTAAACTTCAAAATGTCATTGAACACGAAATGATATTATCATCTCTTACCTCTGCCCTTGAGCAGGAGCTGCCCAGTCTTCGTTGTCTTTGCATTTCTGTGGCTCCCAGGGCAGCACCTTGCCCCCGTGGGTCTACAACACCAGTTATTAAATGAATAGTTTAACAATTCAACACAGCTGAGAAAAATGAAGCAAGCCAAGAAAGCCTCTGAATGGTCAACAGAGATGGTGTGAAATCCACACGTAACACTCAGGTGCTTTTTTGATAGACTGGCCCGTAAGGCCCTCTTGAAGCTTTTCCGTTTTACTTTACCCAGAGTCAGCTCTAGGAGGACCAGGAGCGTCCAGTTAGAGCAGGGAGGATGGGTGTGGTTATGCTGGGCAGGCACACTGACCACCCGAGAAGCGGCAGCTTAACAGTCTGACTGTAACGGTGGAGACAGAAAAACTAAGAAAAGCAGACACAGGAACTTAAAAAGCCTTTCAGTGTGGGGCTTTATACCATAAGGAGAGATCCCATGAGGCTTACTGAAAGCTAAATTAGACAAAGCAGTTGAGATCTTCTTCGGAGAACAATTGCACTTTGGCAAGGATACCAGATGACCTAAAATGACAGATTCTGCTAATTTCCATGATTGCTTCAGGGAAGGTTGAAGATAACTTGGCTCTGTTTTTGCAATATGTTTCACAAACATAACTTCTTGGTCTGCTGCACAGGTAATTACTCTAACCACGAAGTTCATGTTGCCAATTATCTCAACTATGGCCTCATTTTCTCTGAGGATGCCGAAACCTAATTCTTCTGGGTTTTGCGAGCTCTAACTAGTAAATATTAAAACCTTTATCCAGCAAATGAATTGCTTGGTCATGTCAGTTTATGTAGCTTTTTATATCTTCAGGATAATTTGGAGTCAATCTGGAGTATTGGTAATTATTAATTTTAAGTGATGACCTATACACTAAAATGAATTCATTTTTATTTATTAACAGTTTTGTTTTCACCATTTTTATACCACTCTTTGCTCTGTGAAATACTGTCCAATTCAGTGTTGGGTTTTTTTTTTATCAGTGGCATTCTAGATGGTCTAATTCATAGATGATGTGATGGTGAAAGGCATAACAAATATTTTGTAAGGACGGAGTTGAGAAGTCAAAAGTTTTGGACAGGTTAGGATAATGGACCCAATCTGAGAATGTGAAATATTGATGAGGTGAAAATAAAGCCTTCACTTGGTTCTTACAAAAAGATAAGGGACATCTTAAGAGTCAGTCTGATACACAGCTATAAGAAAGGCTAGTAACTGAGGTGTTGTAATCTTAGTCTACATGAATCAGGCACTTTGGGCTGTAAAACATAGAGACTCACTCAGGACACCCTAAGGAAGGGGGACTTACAGCACAGCTTTCCTGTTTGGATCTAGAAAGTAGGAAGTTGGGCATGAGGTGACCTCAAGGGATTGACTCCTTTCTCTCATGTGGCCTTCCTGCTATCCCTGCAGATTCAGTAGGTTCTTCTTTGACTTCGGATAGCCAATAAAAATCCCAGAGAGAGCCAGTATGATTGACTTGTCTTATTATCAAGGGCCAGAATTGGAACCAATGAGTGAAAGCTACAGGAAGAGAGATTCAGCTATGTATGGAATTCCCTAAAAATGGAATCGTCCATAGGCAGATAGATGGTTGGATTTAGTGACCTTCCAGGCTCCTTCTGCCTTCTAAAATTGTGTTTTTATTTTTATTACCATTCTATTATTTCTTCGCACAGGTGTCTAATGAAACCCATCTTTTCATGTTATTATTAAAATGAACCGTGAAGATAATTCTGGCACAGTATAGTTAGGATATGCCTAAGGTGTCAGAAACAGTCATGGTTTTGCGTTAGCCTCTTAAGTAAAATATGTTTCATATGTAAAATGCTTGTAAATTAGATTTTATTATAGTAAATATCAATGCCATCCAAAGAAAGGAAATAATCTACATAACATAAATGTAATGGAGCAGCAAACTGCAACAGGGATACTTCTGTAAGATGATTGACGTTTTTCAAAAGAAGGTAGACAAATGGCCAATGAACATGAAAAAATGCTCAGCACCACTAACCATCAGGGAAATGCAAATTAAAACTACAATGAGATACCACCTTACTCCTATCAGCATGGCCATTATTAAAGAGTCAAAAACAATAGATGTTGGAGTGGATGCGGAGAGAAAGGAATGCTTATACACTGTTGGTGGGGCTGCAAACTAGTACAACATCTATGGAAACAAGTATGGAGATCTTCAAAGAAATAATTGTAGACCTACCATTCAAGCCAGCAATTCTCCTGCTGCGTATCTACCTCCAAAGAAAATGAAGTCATTTTATCAAAAAGACAACTGCACTTGAATGTTTATTGCAGCACAATTCGCAATTGCAAAAATGTGAAATCAACATAAGTTTCCATAAATTCATGAGTGGATAAAGAAAATGTGGTATACATATACCATGGAGTACTACTCAGCCATAAAAAGAAATGAAATAATGTCATTTGCAGCAATTTGGATGGAACTGGAGACCATTGTCCTAAGTGAAGTATCTCAGGAAGGGAAAAGTAAACACATATGTTCTCACTAATAAGTGGGAACTAATAGATGGGTACACACGGGCACGAAGTGATACAAAGGACATGAGAAACTAAGAAAGGGGGAGGGTGGGAGGAGGTGTGTGGGATAAAACCTTACCTGTTGGGTACAATGAACACTATTCTGATGACAAGCACCCTGACTTAAGCATTGAATGAGGTATCCATGAAACAAAAACACTTGTACCCCCTTAATATTTTGAAATAATAAAAAAGAGATGAGTGTAAGAATGTTAGGAAATTTTTTTCCAAATGAATTATAAATGATGTTCCAGAGATTTCAGTTAGGCTTTTAAACTTATCTATCGTGATGGACTGAATCATTTTGGGCAAATTTCAGTGATGACTATTCTGATAGTTGCCTGAACTGAAGTTCTCCAAAATAGTGTAATTAAATTTCAGCATTCGAACTCTACTAATTTGGAAATGTGTATAAAGGGAGAATAAAAATCATTTCATAAAGTGTAAATCCTTTCTCAGTAGAAATTAGTTATTTACCCTGAGAAATTCTGAAAGTACCAGGGAGACTGCAGGTGGCTTCCCTTTCTACTTTCCAATGTAAGAATGCATTGAAACAAAAAAGACCCCAGCCTGCCTGGGAACTGTATTCCCTTGAGGCAACACATGGTCAGTTCCTTTCTCCTAAAAATTGGGGAACTGTTTTATATGGCTTTAAAATTTTGGACTATTAATTTCAATTGTATTTATTTTAAAAACAAATCAGTTGTCAAGTGCCAAAAGTGTAAAGAAGACAGAATGTTAGGGCTAGAGGAATCATCAAAGAACATCTTCCCTGACTTTCTCTCTTTTGAAAAAGTAATGGCACTTGGGCATCATCCCACCTGAGATTCTGATTTAATTGGTTGGGGATTTATTTGGTCTGGATGGGGCCCAGCCATCAATATTTTTTAAAAGTTTGCGCAGTGGTGCTAATGTATGGGCAGGGTTGAGAATCACTTAGCAAGCCCAAGGTCATGCTGTTAGTGATGGAGACAGTTCAGCCAGGTCTAGAACTCTGGCTTTTGTTCTTCTCACTCAGACTCTTCTCGCTTCAGACTAACCTCAAGGTCTGGTTTTAAAGAAAGGGTGATTTTACCCTTTCTCATAAAAGCGAGGTATTCAATAAACATGCTATGCAAGCACATCTTTTAGTTGGCTTCTGTTTAATTAAAGTTTCTTTCTGTTCCACCTTAACCTTATGTTTTTTTTCTTACAATGGTGTGTTCAGCAACCCCTTTATTCCCAGATGCCTTCTTTTCTCACTGCCTTCAAAGCCACCTCTAAAATGTAATTTCATTGCTGAGTTACTCTCTGACATTGTCAACCTTGATCAAATACTTAGTTCTTCATTGTTTGCTCTTTTCAGTCTGTATTAGATTCTTCCCAGCCACAGCCTGTGCGTTGATGTGATTGTAATGCATGGTGTGTTCCCATGAAGTATTAGAGTAGAATAAGATCAAGTGCCTTTTTTCTTTTTGATTTGTGTACACGGTTGTTTCCTGCTATTTAGGAGGTAATTCAGAGTTCTATTCTACAATGAAATGTAATTGGAATTATGTTACCTGTTTTAATTACCCGTTGCCATGAAGTTGCTTACAGTTTCTTAGAGATTGATGTCATTAAGCACAATAATGCTTGGTTAAAATTAATCATGGAATTTGATATGTATTAAGTGCACCTTATCAATTTTAGTACTGTAAGTAGAATGAAATTTCGCCTTAATAGAATTAACTAACACCAATTTATGTTGTTCTGTGTTTTTCCTTTCCAGGAATCTTTGTGATCTTCTTCCTCAGCACTTTTTACCCCTGTTTGCTGAAGACCTTGACCAAAGCTGCTCTCGGCTGTTGGCATCGTCCTGAGAAAAGGACGGCTTCAAAAATCAGGGAAACATTTGGGACGCTTCTAGCCCAGTGGATCTTCTGAAGGTGAATGAATTAGTTCTCTCTTTGTCTTTAGAAGTCTGAATTAGCTCATCTGTCTTCCAAAATCTACTTCTTTGGAAAGTCTGAATAGGGGAACAGGTTATTGGAAATTCTTTATAAACAATTTAGAGTTTTTCTTTTGCAGGAGAATTTTTTAGTAGTTATGAAGGAAACTAGTTGGCTATTTTGACTGAACAGGAATTTATTTGAAGTTGGATCTCTGATCTGTTAAGATTTTCTCTCTCTCTCTCTCTCTCTCTCTCTCTCTCTCTCTCTCACACACATACACACATACACTGCTTTTTAAAAAATCAATGATATTTCTCTTTTCAGAGAAATTTCTGATGTATTTAGGGTTTCTGTCAGCCTCAATATCTACCTTACTCTGCCTTCTAGGATTGTTTTGAAGATCGAACAATATAACATATGAAAGCACTTTGTAAACCATGAAGCATTATTTGCATAAGTAAGAAAAACAATTACTACTATTCTCAAACATTTATAATCCTCCAAAATACTCTCACACCCTCCAATCTGTTTTTCTCCATAGTTTCACTTGTTTTCAGTTCAGTCCAAAAAACATAGCTAGGCTCTCAAAAAGCAAAGGTGATAAGCCCTTGCCAAATGCGAGAGGCAGACATCCAAATAGATATGACCAACTTCAGTATAATAAAAGTATATTGAGGGTGCATTAAGGAACACACAAGCCATCTAATGCAGCCTGGGGCCAGAGGACTGTGTGCATACAAGTAGGCTTCCTGGAGGAGGTAGCTGCTGAAATGGCTCTTGAAAGATGAACAGGAGTTCGCCAGGTAACGAGCAGGGTGTGGGGAGGAGGGCGTTGCAGGCAGGAGGGTGTTACAGGCAGGAGCAGTGGGAAAGTAAGAAATTCAGGATTTCTGGACTGTAAGGTATGGTGTGGGGGGGTGGAGAAAGGGGGTGGGCAGGAAGCACTGAAGCACCTAGGGGTTTTCCTCTGGAAGTCATTGTCATTTTAGGTGTGTTACCTAGTGTAGAGAATGAACTAGAGGTGAGCAAGATTGAAGGAAGGGAAGATTCATTTTATAATCATCTGGGGAAGAGAGAGGAGAGCTAGAATTTGGGTGGAAGCAGAGAGGAATAGAGAAAGAGAAGGAAATTTGAAAGAGTTGGATTTGATGACTGATTGGGCGTAAGAAGTGGGAAAATGTCAGGACTTGGGATTCTCAGGTTTCTGATGTGTGGGACTGAGAGTATGATGATGCCATAAAGGGAATTTAGGAGGGAAGCAGGTTTATTCTTCAAGAGGGAAGAGGGAAGGACTTTGAAGTATATGCAGCACATCTAGATAGAAATATCCAGCAAGCACCTGGAAGTGTAAGTGTGGAGGGAAGGGGAGGATTCAGGACTAGAAACATTGACTTGGGAGTCGTAGGCAAGAGTTAAAAATCTTTCTTAAAATGTAAATTTGATTTAGTACTTAAGCCTTCAATATTATTCATTCATTTACTTAAAACACAACTCACCACATTCTCAATTTCCATTTTTATTTTGACATTATCTGCTGTTTCATTCATATCTGTAGTTCTTCTTATTTTCTTGGCACAATAAATTAGGATTTTTCTTAGGGACAAATATGGTGACTTTTTCAGTTCGATAAAGCAAAATTTAAAGTAGTGTTTAATAAACAATTTAAACCCTAAAATTTAGGAGAGTTACAAGCCAGTGCTGCTCTTCGTTTTAATTCACAGTAGTTATAGAAATTATGTAAGAAAGGTGCTTTGCTTTTCGAAGGGTAGTTCTTCTGCTGTAGTAATCATGGTCTCTTGTTAGTCCCTCACTCTCATTGTTCCGTACAGTACTTAAGCATTGCTTATGGGAGACCGAGCAGGGTCTTTCTTGCATTCCTCAGTGGGGTGGTGCCAGGGCCCCTTCCTTTGGGTCTCCCCAGCATCCACCCAGAACACGGTTGGGGTCTGTCCTAACAGAGGCTGCACTGTTTGAGAGCAAGTCTACCCAAGTTAGACTTTTGAAACTCATTACTCAGAGCCTTCTTTGAGGGAATGTCATGGGTAAAAATTTTAAATTCAAATAATACTTACAATAGTACTATTTTGAGTGAATTTTATTTGATTACTATGGTCTTAATTAGCTTACTGATTTTTTTCCTTAATACCTGTTAAAAAAACTACAAAATTCTCCTTTTTATTCTTGATAGTCTACGATCATCTTTTCAGGAACTTTAAGGATCAGCTGATCTATCACTTTCATTTTCATACACAAGAAAAACAATTTGAAGCAAAATTAAGTAACTTAACACTAACAGCCGGAACCAGAGTCCTGGTCTCTTGAATCTCACTCTGCCTTTTCTGCCTCATCATTTTTTCCCCTCTCATTCCAAATCCTTACTGAACTGTGACATTATCCACATGTTTTAAAATAGGGAATTGAATTCAGTGAATCAGTTCACAATGGTGATATTTGCTTTGGTTAATTGCTCTAGATTCAACAGATTTTGCTTTAAATACTTCAGGCTCTGATTAAGGTTTTATTATTTTTTAATTTTATAATTTTTAATTTTTAACATGGATTTTGTTTTTGGCATTCTTTATTTCTCTAGATTGGTTCCACCACTAAAATGAAGGATTGAAACAGAATCAAATCATCTGTGTTTAAATTTTGGCTAAAAAAAGATACTCATCAATAATTTTAAAACCAACACTTTTAAGGACTTTTTCTATTAATTTTGTTTATTGATACATAATGATTGTATATATTTCTGGGGTACAGGTGATACTTTGATAAAGCATTCAATGTGTAGTGATCCAGTCAGGGTAATTGGAATATCTATCACTTCAAACACATTTATTATTTCTTTGTGTTGAGAGCATTCAAACTTTCTTCTAGCTATTTTGAAATATACAATAAATTACTGTTAACTGTAGTCACCCTAAGCACAAGATAGTTCTGATTTGGTCAATTATATTATAGTCTACTGTGAATTTTATGTATAGAAAATGAATTTATGGAAATGTTGAGTTGGTGTAATTTAGAATGACGACACATGCATGCAAGTTGTAGGTGGTCTCAAAGACAATGAATTGTTCTCTGAAGCTCACAGAATGCTCAGTCTTTGCTGTGAAACCAGTGGGCTGTAAATTATCAGGGTGCATATACAAAACATGATTCACTCATCTCCAAAGCTGCCAGTAACAAAAGACGTTTCCACTCATTTATGTCAGAACACAAGGAATATTTCTTTCTGTTTCAGTTTCTCTCTTTGCTTCCTTCTGTCTCTTTTTTTCTCTCTCTGCCTCTGTGTCTCGTTTTCTGTTTCACTCATATTCTCTGTGTGATAGACACACTTTAATATGATATATCCAACACCTGAGACCCTTGACTGTGTTTATGGAACTGGCAGTGGAAATAGTGTGTTATGGATCAGAGGGGAGAGCTGGGGGGATGGGGGGGCATCATCTGGCATGTGCTAAATGTTTGCCCTCTGCCTTGCTTGGCTACATTGGGCAGAACAATAGCATGAACAGGGATGAACAGATTTGGAAACTGTTGCAGACTATGAGTGCAAGATGGTATGGTGGCTGCGAAAGGGGAGGTCAGCTTTCAGCACTGTTGTTTGGCTTGATGGTCTTCTTCTGAACTTCTTACCATGGCAGAAGTACAGAGCACATCAGTATTGGGTGGCTGCTTTCTGCTCAGGTTCCAAAGTGAGGATTGCAAGTGCTATCAGGCAAACAGAGCAATACATAGAGTTTTTTACTTTTGCAGTTGCCACTTAAAAGTATTTAGAGTTTGAAATAACATTCAAGACTGCCCTCTTTTCTACTCTGTGGTTAGAGCACAGAATTCTGCAAGAGGAAGGATGCATGGGAAAAACTCCTACTGCAAAGGAGAAGCCATGGGTGAGCTGCTAGGGTGACACTTTTGAATGGGAAGTATTCCAGCAGGCCCAAATCATATTTAACAGTAAAATGTGTTACCCTATGCCCTTCTGTAGTGTGGGATTTTAAAAAGAGGAGAGGAAATGCTGAGCCACCAACCTTTGGTACAAATTCAATCCCACCATAGAGGTCATAGACTTTGCATCAGCAATTTGTGTACCATTCTAGTGGAGGACAATGACAGTGGATTTCTAATCAGATAATGTCCTGCTGCATTTGAATTTTCACTCTCGACCGGCTTTTGTTGTTTGGGTACTTTCAAAATTATTCTTGATTCAGGTTTATTATTAACTTTTGAACCCCAGCTACTGCACTAATATTTTTCTACTTGTGTTAAATGAGAATGGTGACTAGAGAATTTATTTTTGCATTAGTTAATAGGATAGCAAGGCAGCATAATATGAATTAATGACTCTTCACATTTTCCCATAATATAAGCTGGATTCGTCATCCCCTGGGGATCTCTTTCAAATTCATGCCCTAATAAATGATTCCTGCTAGTTATTGAATTTCTAGCTTTTTAAAAGCTTCCACATAATGGATAAATAGGTAACAATAAATAATAAATAATTTAAATCTTAAGCTTTAAAAACATTTTTGATTGTTCTCATTAAAAACTGGAAAAATAAAACAGAACTTCCTCTTCACGATCAATAGTATTTGTGCTGTTTGTTTCAGGCAAGAACTATCCGGAGGCAATTATATCTTTTAATATGGTTTGGAAAATAAAATCTATGAGGAAAGATTGAGGATAAATAAATGATTGAGGATGCAGAACTCCTAGCAGGGTTTTATTCACCCAATGTAACACCTTTCATTTAGAGCTGTGCTGCCCAACCCCCGGTCTGCGGACGGGTACTGGTCCATGCCCTGTTAGGAATCAGGCCGCACAGCAGGAGGTGAGTGGCAGGTGACAGTGAAGCTTCATCTGTATTTATAGCAGCTCCCCATTGCTTGCCACTCCCCCTACCCCCCATCTGTGCAAAAATTGTCTTCCATGAAATCGGTCCTTGGTGCCAAAAAGGTTGGGGACCACTGATTTAGAGATCACGTAGATTATTATTA